GGCACGGTGTCGACGCATCACTGCATTGTGGTGGCGTTGATCCGGGATACCGCGTGTTCTTCACTGGCATGAAAGCCAACATAACAGAGCCCGACTTACGAGAAGCCTTCTCTGTGTTTGGACACGTTGGTGAGATCCGGCGCTTTCTCCTACCGGATGGAGTGCACACGAGTGGCCAGGGTTTCGTAACCCTCGACTCGTTGTCTGCAGCCAATTCGGCGCTGGCAGCCTCACCAATTTCGATTGGCAAATCTTCACTGAAGTTACGCTTGAAACCACTAACTGAGTCGTAAGTGACTGATAGAGTAATGAATGTTTTAAGGTGCCAAATGGATCGTAAATTTAATAACCTGAACACATCTCTCCGATTTTTTACACTTCATTTAGTCTGTGACTTTATAATGGTGATAAAGCGCAATGTTTATGTCGTATACATACCTGATAAGTAGAATTATAAAAATGACTGATTGCAAGCATCAATTGTGTTCAATTGATACTGATGTTCTGGAAGAGCGGTTGCCACAGGTTGGTCTTGCGGTTGAGTTGACAGAGTAAAAAAGAGAGTTTAACTTTATTAGTAGCAGCATCATTGTTGGCTGCATGCATTCTCGATTGTGAGCCGATGCAAACCCGTAAGAATGGGACGGCCGAAAATAGCACAAAAGCGGTATGCAAAAAGAAGAACGGAAGCAAAAAATTGACAGTTAAGCTTGCGTTGTTGGCGTGTGATTGTTCCTTTGATCCATCGATCATATTTCTTTTGTGATCATGGAGGTAAGCGCCTATCCAAATCTCAAGTATTGTGCCTGATTCCACGCGTTGAGGCTGTCTACTGCCGAATGTCGAGAACCAAGAACAGCAGTTTCCACCAAGCCTGCGATTGCGGCCATGTGAATTTGTCTTCGACAATGATGGTATTCTCCCTTATGTTCAGCTTTTTGCTAGCTGACGCAAACTGAGATTGCAGGTCGTTGCAAATGGAGTTGATCGGGACATGGCTTGGTGTTGGCTGCTTGACATGAGCCACTGAAGGTTTTGATGCGAGAAGGGACACAGCATGAGACACAGCCCTTTACTGCGGAAACAGGAAGCTGTGTAGGAAGTAGACCGGAATAGAGCCCACCTATTGCCGCCTACTGTTTCCCCGAGTTGATGGTAATGTCCAAGGCCGTGTCCAGCTGAAGACGTACTGGCCGGTTGTGGCCAATTCAGGGAATAATAATGAGAAGTAGAAAGTTGGCAAATAGCTGCAAAATATTTGATTGTGTTTGCCCGTGAATATGTTAGAGAATTTTATACATACCTTCGCATGAGCTAAAATTAGTGACAAAATGTGCTTTTTTAGGTTTGGATATGAGTTATCAGAGATTGCCATAAACTAAAGCATTATCATGGCAAATCTTCGTGATAATTTTTGTCTCTCTTCTTTCCTCATATTTGCAAGACGTCGTCATCACAGGGTATTATTTAAGTAAATTCTACTGCACGATTTTTAGCTGTAGTGTTTATAAGTTCTCATTCAGTGATGTCACTTCAAATGCTTGTAGGGATTTTCCAGTAGATCAGTTTAATGTAACTGCAATGACTTGTGTCGCCTTGACCGGACACCGCAAGTCGTATTTTTGTCGTATTCACAATTAATATGAGCCTTGTCGTGTTGTGACTTAGTAGTGAATGTGTGCAGGATTATAGTAACTCAATGCTTAGCATGCTTTTAATGCTCCTCTGAAGACATCGGCCGCAGTTCCTGGTAATAAACTCACGACTGCCCAGTTAAGACATCCCGAACCTCCAACTGCACGGTACGTGCACTCCTTCTGG